CTGTCTGAAGCAAGGGAGAATGAAGGAAAACAAAGACACAAGGAAAAGATTAGTCCAAAGGACTAATGGACCACAACTACGACAGCCTCCACCAGACTGAGTACAGCACAACTAGATGGTGCCCAGCTACCACCACCAACTGCTCTGACAGGGATCACAATAGAGGGTCCCAGACAGAGCTAGAGAAAAATGTAGAACAAAATTCAAACTCACGAAAAGTGACCAGACTTACTGGTGTGACAGAGACTGGAGAAACCCCGAGACTATGGCCCCCGGACACCCTTTTAACTCAGTAGTGATGTCACTCCTGAAGTTCACCCTTCAGTCAAAGATGAGACAGGCCCATAAAACAAAAGGAGACTAAATGGGCACATGAGCCCAGGGGCAAGGGCAAGAAGGCAGGGGGGGACAGGAAAGCTGGATGAATGGAAATGGGGAACTCGAGGTCGAGAAGGGGAGAGGGCTGACATATCACGGGATTGGCAACCAATGTCACAAAACAATATGTGTATTGTTTAATGAGAAATTAATTTGCTTGTAAACTTTGACCTAAAGCACAATTAAAAAAAAAAAAAGTGATGGAGTTGGGTTTTAGAATACAGAGCCATCTGTTTAAAATAAAGCCTGTGACACTAAACTTAGCTGTTCAAGTTCAAATGTCCACTGAACTGAAAACAAGGCCATGGAGTAAACAATTTGTTGTTTCAATTGTATTTCCTCTTAGAGTATAGTGAACCATCAGAATAATCCATAAAGATACAAAACCAGACATTAATGTTAATCATAGTTTTAAAATTAACATCCAATTATAGCAATTAGTGACAATTACAGTGATTTATTTTTCATACAACTAACAGGCTTTTAAACATGGAATAATTAAAAGAATGAAGCATTTAATCATATCACCAACTGCATATATTAAACTTTTAAAACATTTTTAATTACTACTTATAAACTGCAATTTGTCAAGCTTACCCATAGTAATAAAAATATTGATCAATCATCACTTTTAACAAACTGGCCAAATACACAATATATTTAAAATTATTAAACCTGAATATTCCTCCAGTGTAAGGATACTTTACCTGTAATAACAGTACAAATATGTGCATTGGAAGAGTTTAAATTTCAAGTTCTAGAAGTTAATAAAATAACAGGCATAAAAATAATAAAGGATAATCAGCACACAAACTATAAAATTATATTGGGAAAGGAAAGTAAATTCTATTAAATAAAAAACAAATACATGTAAAAAATAGTGTACATCTGTTGTTTTTGCCTGTCCAGCAACTATTCCCCCTTCTCCAGGAAATAACACCTCAATTTTCCTTTAGGAACTCTCTGTGGGCTACCCTTAACCCATGTGGTTTGAAACCTAGCACACACTCCAGGTTAGGAACAAGACCCAAGCCATCCAAAGCATTCCATTACCCTGGCTACCGGGATTGCATCTAGGACAGGCAATGACCCAAGTCAGGCCAATAAGACGCCCATACAGTAGTTTGCTAGAATAGCAGAGGAAAAAAAAGTTCTCTTTCAGAACAGAATACAAGGAAAAGATTAGTCCAAAGGACTAATGGTCCACAGCTACCAAGGCCTCCACCAGACTGAGTCCAGTACAGCTAGATGGTGCCC